CAGAATCAAGTAAGTATAGGCATTTAATTTTCTGCTAAAAAATGTAAAACAGAAATCCGAACAAAAATTCGAATACAGATAAATGACTTCCGCAAGCGAAACAAATTAATAAAACAGAGAAAGCGTTCAATTCACTAAAGATTACCAACATGGAAGACAAAAAATAGCCTGATCTGACGAAATCCCACTTTCTTCTGCGACATTCGGATGGTAGGACCTGAACCTGGCGTAAACGGCATGGAAGTACGGATTCCTCCAGCTTTGTATTCAGGCTGCTTGGGCTGGTGCATTGGTACGTGGAAGATATTCTTAGCACATATTGCGTTACTTGGTACGAACAGGTTAATGCACCGTGTCACAAATAGCCTAGGGCTTAGAATCTCCGACTGATGCCAGATGTTCAGTTCCTTTGCAAGTACTTTCGATGAATGCTTTCATCATCTTCAGGCATGGATATTAATTTTTCAATTCCAGGTAATTTCAGATAACTTTCGAGACGAAAATACCTGGAAATGAAAAATAATATCCATGTCTGATGATGATGAAAGTATTCATCGAAAGTACTCGCAAATGGACGGAAGCTCAAATCCGTTTTTAAATTTTTAAAAACAAAGATCGGGACATTCAGCGAGTGGTTATTAAGTTAATGCTTTATTTAGTGAAGTGAATTCGCCGTTAATTACATTAAAGTTACTGATTTATTCTTTGTATGACTACTTTTTATAACAGGCACATATAACATACACACACACACACACACACACACATATATATATATATATATATATATATATATATATATATATATATATATATATTTTTTTACTTAACTGGGAAGTATTTCCGTCATGCTGATTCGAAGTCTCGTGGTCACCTTAAATACCTAAATACCTTTCTATCAACACTGATAAATCAGAAATTTTGCCTTCAAAAGCTGTCTCTCAAACTAACACTTTATATATATATATGTGTGTGTGTGTGTGTGTGTGTGTGTGTGTGTGTCTGCCTGTCGCGCGCGTGTGTTTATATAAATTGGTATCAACCAAAGTAGGGCAATACAGCCAGTAGCACGCCAGGGGCTACAAGTTTGAAGTAATTAGGAATAGAAAAAATTAGTAATGAGGAGAAAGAGGAAAGAGAAATCAAGAGGACAGTAGAGAGCGATTGACATTGCATTTAAATTTTTGCAGATTAAAGTTGGTTGAAATGCATGTGACCAGGAAGGAGTTCCACAAGCGAGAAGTGCGGGATAAGAAACTCATAGCATATAAATTACGGCAACATCTAGCTAGCTCAATTGTAAATTGATGAGATCTCGATACCAGTCTAGTATTGAGCTTAGATTCATACAATCTAGGTACCATAGCGTAGAGATCATCCAAACAATTAACATGAAAGTATTTATTAAAAAAAGGCACAGTGAGACAACCTTATGACGGTGGGAGAGTAACTGAAGTCGAGCCACCTGATCAGGACCAGTAATCTTGCTGATTCTTCTTGGGGTCTTATCGAGGAGAAAAATCGCAGAAACACCGGGCCATGTATGACAAAAATATAAGCATGGTAGATTTATAGATATGCAAGATACATTCCGGAGAGAAAAAAACTTCTATATATTGTGAACCGACTTAGCTGTTCTGGCGATGGATTCAATGTAGTCTTTCCACCTCATTTCAGCTGAGAACGTCAGCCCAAGAAGGCGTAATGAGTCAATGTCTTGGAGGATAGCATCAGCCATTAGTAAATAAAATCAAGAATAATATTTTAAAATTGTAGTTCAATACGACGTATTCATATACAAACAATCCGTTAGAAAAAAAATCTTTATGCATACAAGTACAAATTTAACGGCGAAACAAAAGTGCCGAAAATCTTTTTGTCATTGACAAAGACAAGATGACATGCACAGATTGTATTGAACGGATGTCATCATTCATTGAAAAAGGCACCCCTTACCCTACATTAACTTACACCTCTTTTCGAAAGTAGCTGATATTTTGATACAATAGTTGTCAGTGAAAATGAATAACCTACCACACCTTTTCAAAATGAATGAATTTCCCCGTATCCTTAGCAACTAATATTATGAATGTATGTGCTTATAAAACTCAGTAAATTTCAGAATAAGTTATTCCAAAATTCGCTTGAAAATGAAACAGAAGGCGGGACTTTAATTTAAATACTATAATTGAATTTGTAGTTTTTAGTTTCTGTTTTTGAAACATGGTAATTCCTGCGTAGCCTGGAACCATATTTTTAAATTAGTAAATTTATAATATTATATGTGTTGTGTGTGTGTGTGTGTGTGTGTGTGTGTGTGTGTGTGTGTGTGTGCCTGTATTAAATAAATTAAGAAAAGTGCGTGTCATATCTGGTTAGCCAACTCAACTTTAACGTCGGAACGCTCATCAGATCCAATAACTTGATAAATCATTAATTAAATATGTGGCCCTGATGAACGTTTCGACGCTAAAAACTTGATTTACTTAAGTAGAAAAGTCACTTGTTTTTTTTTTTAATTTATTGAATATTATAGTTGTATTGAATATTATACCTTGTGGCAGAAGCTCTGCTAGCATGAAAAAAACACGTAAACTCGTAATTTTAACGCATTTCCCCAAGTGCATTATTATTATTATTATTATTATATCGCGTAATTACCTCGTTTTTTAGCTTCTAAACATACTTTATTGAAAACTATATATTTCGCTATATATATATATATATATATATATATATATATATATATATATATATATATATATATATATATATATATATATATATATATATATATATGTGTGTGTGTGTGTGTGTTTATTTATATGCACAAATATTTAAGTATTAGCAACATTTACCGGCGAGAACGTCGGAGAAATTGCAAAGAAGATATCCGTCCTTCGACAGGAATCGAACCTGCATAATACACGGAACCGTCATATAGCCTGACGGGCTATGCCATATATCATGGGAAGGTTCTAGTTTAGAATCAAACTTGCTAACCAGACACTCCTTCGTCGCTAAACTGGTATAACACGTCAGGTTATATGACGGTCCTGTGTAGGATACAGGTTCGATTCCTGTCGGAGAACACATATTTTCTATGAAATTTCTTGGACGGACAGGCCGATAAATGTTGTTAATACTGTTGATTATAAACAGAGCATTTACTTAAATATTTGTGTATATATAAATAACGTATTTATTAAAATAATTGTTGGACTTAATCCATTGCGTGTATATATATATATATATATATATATATATATATATATGTTGAAATATAAAATATATTAAAAGAATTGTTGGATTTCGCAGTATATATATATATATATATATATATATATATATATATATATATATATATATGTGTGTGTGTGTGTGTGTGTGTGTGTATGTGTGTGTATATGTGTATATATATATATATATATTTATATGTATTTATCTATCTTTAACTTACTTTTCTCTCTATATATATATATATATATATATATATATATATATATATATATATATATAGAGAGAGAGAGAGAGCATTTTAACCCCAAGGAAGGCAATGACTTCACTAAAACGCATTTGTTTACTGAATATAAATTTAGTAAATGTAGTAATCTGCTTAAAGTAATTTATAAAATCTATGTAGCGTAGTGCAAAGTTTATCAGAACAATTACCATGAAAGTATTTATTTTAAAAAATACGCCCGGAGACAAGGAAGCTTCATTACACCGGTGGGAATATGAATGCATCCTAGAATTATTTAGATCCTGGTAACTTTGAGGCATTTCAAGCTGGACCACGAAGAAGAGAAAACTCCCCCCCAAAAAAAAAATCACTGAGAGTAAGGAAATGAAATAGCATTTCATCTTACAATACAATAGCGTCCTGGGTAAGATGTTAAACTACATCCGCATCTTGGGTAAGAAAATAAACTACATCCGCATTCTGGGTAAGAAAATAAACTACATCCGCATCCTGGGTAAGACAATAAACTACATCCAGCAGCAACGCCTCTGATCAGGAGGTTTTGTGGAGCGTCGAACTACCTCTTAATTGCTGGTGTTCCCAGGTCCACACTAACCCAGGGTGGTAGCACCTGTTAGGGCCCAGCTATGGGCAAATAATACAAAGCAATACATTTTTGAAAAAAAATATCACCAGCAATACACTTTTGAAAAAAATATTACCAGCAATACAATTTTGAAAGAAAAATATTACCAGAAACAGATTTTTGACAAAACAAAATATTACCAGCAATAGAAAATGTTGTCGGCATTAAATAACCCATTGAGGTTGATAAGCCGTAAAACAAAATAAACCAAACCAAACTTACAACACAATACTTGTTAACGTCTTAAACGGTTGTATGTATATTTTAAAATATAGCCCAGAATTAGAAGATCACAAATTGTCAAATATAACGCTTTAAGTTGCAACGTTATAGGCAACGAAACTATTAGCATTTGAAACATTTCAAAAGAGTTAGGATAATCGGAAAGTACCATGCGTAGACCGTCCTGGGTAAGACTACATCCAACAGCAAAACCTCTGATCAGGAGGTTTTGAGGAGCGTGGAATCACCTCTTAATTGTTGGTGTTCCCAGGTAAACCCTGACCCGGGTCCCAGCTATGGGCAAATAGTTAACTCCCAAACTGGGGTCAAGACACTATGAATGTGTAAAAATTTATTTTTATACCATCAATACATTTGTAAAAAATTATTACCAGCAATGAATTTTTGAAGAAAAAATTATTACCAGCAATATATTTTTACCAGCAATATAGTTTCTGAAAAAATTACCAGCAATAAAATTTTTGAAGGAGAAAAATATTACAATACACTTTCGAAGAAAAAAATTATTACCAGCAATACATTTTTAAAGATAAAAGATATTACTAGCAATACATTTTAGGGAAAAAAAATTTTAGCAGCAATAAAAATTTTGTCTAGCATTAAATAACACATTGAGGTTGATATACCGTAAAACAAACCAATATATACTGAGATAGATAGATAGATAGATAGATAGATAGATAGATAGATAGATAGATAGATAGATAGATAAAATGTATTGCCAACAATAAAAATCTTGTCGGCAGTAAATAACATATTGAGGTTGATATGACGTAAAATTAAACAAACCAAACCAAACTATACGCAGAATGTAAAATGTTGCATTTAGAACGAAAGTATTTATCTGCACCTTTATATAATGAACAACGTATCATTTCACCCCCATGCAAGGCAATAAAGCCACTAAGATACAGGGGCTTACTGTGTGTGAAAGAATATAAGAAAAAGAAAAAAAATATTACGCAGCGAGAACAAAAATGAGCAATAAATAATTAAAGAGATAGATGATCAAGATTGACATTTTATTTAAATTTCTGAAAATTTGATTGGAATGCAAGAAGTGAGTTCAACAAGCGAGAAGTACGAGAAAAGAAACTGTTAGCATAGAACATAAACTGTAAAACGATGAGACGTAACTGTCAATCTAGTACTCTATTCTCCCCTAGCTATGGGTTAAATAATAAGACTTGCTGAGCTTCCGAGCCTTAATTAGCAAGCAAGGGAAGTGCAAGAGTGAACCCATTGTGTGTGGAGCTAACAACACCTCCCCGTATAAACATGAAACACTGAAAGCAAAGGAAATAACACATAACGTCTTATACTATACAGTGGAATATCAAAGGGAAAATACGCCATCGCAGGACTTCAGTTGTCAATACGATGTGGCAGAGAGTCAGTCGGAACAGAGGCAAAATGTGTAGGATGAAGGACATGATACCAGTTTGTGATTAGTTAGTGTTTCCAAAATGCGTTCCTACATGAAATAGGAAGCTCCCGAGGTAAAAATGAGTGTTAGGTTTGTTACAAAATTTGTTACAAAAACCCCGCGATATTAGGTGACGGATGAGATTGTTGTGATATAAAAAAAACATATCGACTCCAAAACGAAGATTTGACTAGGATTATGATGAAGCGTAAACTGTCTGTGATTAATCTGAAAAATAAAGAAGAGGGAAGAAGAAAAAAGACGAAGAAGAAGAAGAAGAAGAAGGGGGAGAAGAGAAAAGGCAAAGAAAAAAGACGAAAAGAAAACGGAATAAGAGAAGGAGAAGTAATAAGAAGAGAAGGAGGAGTAGGAAAAAGAGAAGAAGAAGCAAAGGATAAAGAGGAAGAGGAGGAATAAGAAGAGGAGGTGTATATGGTGTAGGAAGAAGAAGAAGTAAAGGAAGAAATGGAAAAGAGAATGGCGTGAGTAGAAGGAAGAAGAAGAAGAAGAAAAAAAACAAAAAGGAAGGAGTATTAGTTAAAAAAGAAGAAAAAGTGGAAGAAATAATAATAATGATATTCATAAGATAAAAAGGGACAGAAAAAATATAAGGAGACAAATAAGAAGAAATGGAAGAAGAAAAAAGAAAGAAAGAAGAAAAACAGAAGAGGAAGGAGGAGGAAGAAAATGGATAGAAAGAAAGCTGAAAACAGATAGAGTTAACAAAAAACCGAAATCTCAGAGAGAGAGAGGAACAAACAGACAGAGAGGAAGGGGAGAGAGAGAGAGAGTGTGTTAGAGGATGGAGATAGATGATAAAAGAGAGACAGAGAGGAGAAAGAGTGAGACAGAGAGTGAGAAGAGAGAGGGAGAGTGATAAAGAGAAAGAGAGTAGGAAGAGAGACAGAGAGAAAGAGGAAGAAGAGAGTGAGAGAGAGAGGGGGAAGAAAGTTAGAGGAGAGGAGAAAGAGAGAGAGAGAGAGAGAGAGAGAGAAAAGTGAGACAGAGAGAGAGGAAAAGAAGAGAGAGGAGAGAGAGAGTGGAAAAAAGAGAGAGGAGAGAGAGAGAGAGAGAGTAGAGAAAAGAGAGAAAGTGAGGAGAGAGAGGGAGAGAGGAGAGAGAGAGTAAAGAGAGAGAGAGAGAGAGAGTGATAAAGAGAGAGAGAGAGAGAGAGAATAGAGAAAAGTGAGACAGTGAGTGAGAAAGAGAGTGAGAGAGAGAGAGTGGGGAAATGATGAATGTGTTAATTCCTTTGATCAATTATTTTTATTGTTATTTTTATCACTGGCGTTTGTAATTTAAATTTTCGAAAAAAACGTACACAAAGAAAAGAAATGTAAAAGATACTTAAGAAACATACAAAAAAGACACACACACACACACACACACACACACACACACACACACACACACACCACCGGTCGTGTACTGCCCTTACGGGTGGGGGTAAAACAGAGAGAGGGGAAATCACGGCAGGTAGGATAAAGTGAAAAGAGGTACACACCGACAAAAAAAAAAAAAACCTTAAGGATAGCATACAGTTGTAATGTTTGAGGGTGTGGCTCGTGTATCAAAGCAGGGGACCGGGTTAAGGGTGTGGGAGATTTAAAAAGGATTCCGGATAATAAAATCTGGATAAGAACAGAAAATAAATGTGAGGGATGTCGGGGTGTAGACAGAAGTGAAATAAAAATGCACAGATTGGGAAATGTGCGAGACAACGATAAGAAAGAGAAGAAAAGATATTGGAGGAAAAAGAAGAGGAAAGACAATAGCAAGTGGAAAGAAAAATAAGGAGAATTCACAGAGAAAAAAGAAAAGAAGAAAATGGGATGAAGAAAAGGAGTCCCAGAAGAAGATGACCAAATAAAAGTCTAGAAAGGAAAAAGAGATATAATAATAATAATAATAATAATAATAAAGGTATGGCCACATAAAAAAGGAGAGCAAAAAAAGAAAATTCGTTGGAGGAGAAATAGAAATCAAAGAAGAAAAAGAAGACAAAAAAGGAAGGGGAGGATGAGGGTAGGGGAACGAAGAAGACGCTGTAGAAGAAGAAAAAGACAAAGAAAAAAAGGTAAAAAAAAGAAAAGGAGGAGAAAGAAGAATGAGAATTTGATGATCTTAGAAAATATCAAAAGATAGAAAGTGATAAAAATAAAGATGCTACAGAATGAAGTAATGTATATTAAAGAGAAAAAATGGAGAAGAAAGATGGAGGAGGAGATAGTGAAGAAGAAGAAGAAGAAGAAGAAGAAGAAGAAGAAGAAGAAGAAGAAGAAGAAAATACACATGTGAATGATAACGAGCAGAAGAATAAATGAAAATCGGACAATTTACAAAATAACTTTGAAATACTACTACTAATACTACTACTACTACTACTACTAATAATAATAATAATAATAATAATAATAAGAAGAAGAAGAAGAAGAAGAAGAAGAAGAAGAAGAAGAAAAAGTGGAGGAATGGGAGGGGGAGATTCAGAAGAAGACGATGCGAATAAGGGAAATAAATATGAAAAAAGTGGAGCCATAAAAGGCGGAGGAATCGAAGCTGTCGTGAAGAAGGAGGCAAACTCTAAGAAGATGAAAAGAAAGAAGAGTTTGAAAATACGAACAATGGTAGAAGAAGAAGAAGAAGAAGATGAAGAACAAGAACAAGAACAACAACAACAAGAAAAAGAAGAGGAGGAGGAGTAGGAGAATTTTGAATTTGAAAAAATTTAGGGGAAGTTTTAAGAGGAATTTTAGAATAGCAAGTGAAGAAGAAGCAAGGAAAGTCTAAAATGAAGAAAAGGGGATGAGTTTGAAAAGAAAAATGGAAGAGAACAAAGAAGAAGAAGAAGAAGAAGAAGAAGAAGAAGAAGAAATCATAAAGAGGAGGAAGAATCTGAGGAGTAGAAAACGAAAATGAAAAGCACAGCCTATGATGAAAATATTAAAAAAAATGCGATAAAGAACAGATATAAGGATTTGAGAACAAGTTGAAAAAATGTGAATGAGAAATGTTCTAAAGAAAAAAACGAAGAGAAGGAGGAAAAAGAAAAGAAACAGGAACACATGATAAGAGATGGAAAGAAGAAGAAGAAGAAGAAGAACAAGAACAAGAACAAGAAGAGCAAGAAGAAGAAGAAGACAAAGAAGAAGAAGAACAACAACAACGACAAGGACAAGAAGAAGAAGAAGAAGAAGAAGAAGAAGAAGAAAATGAGGTGTGGAGGAAATGGAAGAAGAATGAGAAGTATGCAAAATAATGAAGTTGAGAAATAAAGGGATGAAGCCGAAGGAAAGAATTATATAAAAAAAACAGAAATGAATGAATGAATAATACACTTTTAATGCGAATAACAGAAAATATTTTGTGAAGAAAACGACGACGACGACGACGACGACGACGACGAAGAAGAAGAAGAAGAAGAAGAAGAAGAAATTAACAAACGAGAGAAGATTTGTAAACGAACATCATATATGGGTACATGAGGAACCCTGCAACCGAGAAAAAAAAAGATCCGATGAGAATGTATATAAGGAAGAAAAGACGAGAGGGTGGCGATAAATGAAAGGAAGTCAATGAAAAGATGAAAGCAAAGAGAAGCAGAGAACAAAAAAAAAAAAAAAGACGAAAATGTTTTCGAGCAGGATACAACTAAAGGCGAGTGTCTCTTGTTGTTGGCCAAAAGTTGCTGAGGCAGATGTTAAGCTCGCATACAGATGCAGAAAGGGTCTTCTTAAGCCGCTGAAGAAGGCAGATTCTCCAAAAAGAAAAAAAAAAAGCTATGCCAATAGTTAGGGATGACGTCATCCAAAGACGTCCCTAAAGATGACAGCCCAGTGAGTCACGTACCCTATTAAAATCTACGCGAAGGGGGTCTTCGTGTACTCGTGTGCAAGTAAGCGTATGCACATCTGCAGGTGTATGTCTGATTGCACGCGAGCTCGTACGGGTGTTTGTGCATGTTTGTGTGTGTACTAGTGCCTCTGCGTAGTCAAATGTGTACGAAGCCATGTATGAAAATTCTATGCGTGTGTTTGTCAATGCAAGTCCGCCTTCAGCGTGTACGCTGAAGAAAATACAGAGAGTATAGTGGTGTACATTCACCCGTGTGATTGGACACGTGTGCTTTATCCATGAGGGAGAGTGTGCGAGCGTACACGCCTTTTTTATACGTTCTAACATCTAAATGTGTATGTTTCTCTAAGCTCTTTCCATTAAACATCTAAATAAAACCCTTATATGTGCCGTGTTCTTCCAGGACTTGGGCGATGATGGCTCTCCACGATTTCTTTTGTAACTCATCAATTTACACCATCTCGTTAGGTAGGTCATACGTTGTTTCCGTCTGTCACTTTTGCTTTCACTATCTCCTGTGTCAAATTCTCTAACCCAGCCATCCTCAATACGAGTCTCTGAAATTTCCTATGCCACTTTCTGATTTTAAGCACAAGGTACTGTTTTGTCCCAATTTTACTCAAACTTCCTCGTTGCTCACATGTTACGTCCATGGTATCCCCAGTACCCCCCACAAGAACATTTCTGTTACCTCAAGTTTCCTCTTCATCCATTTTCAGATTATCGAACACTAGCAGTAGAGCCCGGCGTTGCCCGGGGATGTAACAGTAAGAGATAGATCAAGTATCAACCATCATAAAGACTGAAAAATAAAATTGACAAAGATTATTGTTTAAGGTTGACGGACACGCATGTCTTAATTAGTTTTTTTTGTTTAGTTTTTTTTTTTACGAATTAGTCAAACCCAAACTCAAACAAAAACATTGTTTTCAATTGTTATGAGTCTACCGATTGAATAGAATTTTATTATAAAGAATTGTCTTGTAAATGGAATTTTTAAAGCATTCTGAATGTAAAAATAAAAAAAAAAGTGTGCAAGACAATAAGAAACATTTCCTGTCAAAAAAAAGTAAAGTTTTGTTGAAATTGGTTGAAAAATGTGGGAAATCCGATCCCATATATAAATGAACACACACACACACAAACAACCTGGGTTTTATAAAACTCGATATCATTTGTCCCCCTTTCATTCTCACGATGCCTCTTAATCGTGTTTTCAAATTGATTTCGTGCAAAAACAATTGTGTTTTTCCAATTTTTGGCGCTGTCAGAACCACCGCAAGGTAATTTTACATAGTCCTGTGACGTTTTGTTGAAATCGGTTGAAAAATGTAGGAAATCCGATCCAATATATAAACATACAGACACACACACACAACCTGGGTTTTATAATATGATTCATTACCATATAGGAAGATTGATTTTCTTTGTTGCTAACTAATTTTCGTTTCCTTTAATATTTTGTTTAGCTTTTGGAAGGCATTTTTCCAATGTTCCTACAGATTTATATGTCGTATTTCCAGCGTCTGTTATATAACATTTTCCAATTTGTTAAATGTTTGTACTTCTTTTATTTTGGCCTCTCCCTTTGTAATTCACATCTTGGAGTCCCCCTTTTACGTTCTTTCTTCATACAATTGATGAACTGGAATTTATTTTCGCGTTTTACCACCTTTTCTAGAGGTCAATGTAGTTTCCTATCGCTTCGCCATCAATACTGTGTTATCTGCGCAACTTAAGTAAAAACTTAAAATCTTAGTAGAACGTAATTAAAATCCTCTTAATATCCGCTCGCTGTATATGTTCGAGAAAGTGGGAAAACATTTTTTTTTAATTCATGTCACCCGAAGCAAGGCAATAAAGTCACTAAGCCGCAATTGGTTACTGCATATGAGAATATGAGAAAAGAAAATAGTATTAGAGAGAGATAGAGAAAGAGAAAGAGAGAGAGAGGGAGAGAGAGGAGGAGAGAGAGAGGGAACAATAAAAGTACAGGAATTAAGAATATAACAATTGGCATTGCATTTATATTTTTGAAGAGCAAAGTTGACTGGGAAGCCAGAAGCCGGAAGGGAGTTCCACAAGCGAGAAGTGCGAGAGATAGCATAGAAGTTACGCTTACATGTAGCTATTTAAACTATAAAATGATGAGACCTAGCCGCCAATCTAGTACAGAGCTTAAATTCATCAAGTCTAGGTGCCAAAGAGGATATGCACTTAGGCTCTTTTCGATGTGTATTTTCTCAATTAATTTACTATCTGTATGCAGACTATCATTTGGCGGAGTAGGTAATGGCTGCTCCAGTTACTGCGTAGCAGTAACTACTTATTTAAGACATTGCATGCTGAGAAAGACAATATTCTGAAAATTAAAAATTGAACCTGCTCTGAACAGCAACATCGGCAAAAACAAACACCAGCTGATATGTTTAGAGACAGAATGCAAACATTATGGAAACAGATTTGTTGTCAAAAGTAAATGGAGGAATAATGTACATCGATGTTGGAAAGTATCAGTCCGTGTATCTGGAATACAGTTCACTGTTCAAAAAAAGAAATCATACGAATGCCAACAAACAGAATGGATCCAGAATGTCTAGCTAACAAAGCCATGGACTTTTACTTTGAAAAGACTGTCTTCAAAAAGTTCAGAGATCATCCAAGAACAACCATAGTCACAACGCGGAACCGAGACATTCAAAGAATAAAGCAAAAAGATCCCAATTTTCCTTTTGGAGAAGTTTACAATCTAACAAGATATGCAACGAATCGGCAAACTCGCAGAGGACAGAGAAGGCTGGCAAAATATTATCGAATCGGTGTACAATGTCACTGAAAATGAAAGAATATGTTAATACATGACCTTAAATCGAAACAGTATTGATGATGATGATGCAGGCTCTTGTATCCCAGTAAAGGACATGGTTTTATTATATATATCCTAAATGATCGCAGTTCTCCTACCAGCTATTTTGCCTTAGTTTTGCACAGGGTCATTAAAATGAAGCTCTAGCATCCTTATATGCTTCTAACATTAGTCAATATACTTAGTTAATTTGGCTTAATATATTTATTTAATACATTTAGCTTTATCTGGCTCTTAGAATGACGCGTTCCAACCAAAAACTACCAACCAAAACTAATAATTTAACAAAGATTACTTGTTAAGCATAGTTTAGTACCAGCATGCATTTCACATGTCATTTCCGGAAGTTGGCAGTCATGGTTCTCCACAATTTTTTGTCATTTGTTGCTAAATACATTTTGTCTTTTTGTGATCACTTGTGAAACTTGTTCTGCCATCCATTTACTCAAGAACGTTATGTGTTGTCTTCCTTTGCCCATCTTGCCTTCAATCTGTCCTGTGAGTATCAAATATTCCAAGTCCTCTTTCCTCATTATGTACCCTAGAAATTTAAACCCTCTCTTCGGCGAGTTAAGTATAAATGTTCATTTTGTTTCCATTTTCTCTAAAACTTCAAAATATTGCTCTCATGATCCGTCCATAGCATTCTCAGCATCCTTCTGTAGAACCATATTTCTGTTGCTTCAAGTCTCTTCTTCATACGGGTTGATTTGGCTTGTTTTACGGCATACAAATCTCAATGGGTTATTTAATGCCGACAAAATTTTTATTTTTGTTAATTTTTTTTTTCAAAAAATCTATTTCTGGTAATATTTTTTCTTCAAAAATATATTGCTGGTAATAATTTGGTTGTTGTAGAGTAGTTTTCACAGTGGAGGCTTGTATTTCAATAAGTCGTCCTAAATTAGGTTCGACGTACAAAACGTTAGGAACTTGAAATAAAAGTTAATGACGCAGCAATCTAGTTGTGATGGTTGATACTTCAATGTCCGACATCGACTGACTCACTCAACACCACTGAGCCCAACTGGTGACCGCTACTACTACTTATTATGTGTGGGAGAGTCTATTAATAATAGAATTGGTACGTTCAGGTATGACATTGGTACAAAGTATTTTTGGTATTAAAACTTATTTTTACACTTTCATAGTGTTTTGACCCCAGTTTGGGGTTAACATATATGGGACCCTAAAAGGTTTTACCACCCCGAGTCAGGACGGATCTGGGAACACCAGCAATTAAGAGATGGGTCCACGCTCCTCAAAACCTCCTGCTCAGTGGTCTTGCTGTTGGATGTAGTTTATCGTCTAACCCAGGACGCGGATGTAATTTATCGTCATACCCAAGACGGTTCTTCATCAGGGATTTACTGCTATACAGAAGGGATGATATTACTTTACAGTTCAGTACTCTTTTCTTTGTTTCTAACGATTTTTTCTGTTTCTTAATACTTTGCTTAGATTTTAGAAGGCATCTTTCGCTTTCAGTTTTCAGTTGTGGACTACCTTACTATAAATGTCTATAACACTATTTATTACTAATTAATTACTAATATTTATTTATTAATTAATTAATTAGGCGATTCGTGACTAGCGAAAGCATTGATTATCGGCATGAACTATAGAATCCGCGAGAAGAATTTAAATTCTAGTCTGTTACGCTCTGTTCCCCCCTAATCATGTTGGGAGAGCACTATTTACATTATTCGGACTATTTACATTATTCGGACCATTCATCTTTGTCGCCATATTTATTACAACGTTTCAGCTGTTGTACGCTCCGGCCTTCTTCAGATGGTTGGAATGTCGAACTGAACCCTTTATTTCGCTCACTGTGATAGACTGTTCTAGTTCCACGTGCCATGTTTAATGGATGTCAGTTATCAGTTATCTCATGTTAATTACCCTCTCCTAGTTCTCCACTGCCTTAACCGGGTATTGAGGACACATGGTACAATAGATAAAGGTGTTGGTTAGATCCAGTGACAGAACCCAAAGAGTGTGAGTTCAATACCCGGTTAAGGCAGTGGAGAACTAGGAGAGGGGAATTAACAGGGGATAACTGATAACTTACATCCATTAAATATGGTACGTTGAACTAGAACAGTCTACCCCAGTGAGCGAAATAAAGGTTTCAGTTCGACATTCCAACCACCTGATGAAGGCCGGAGCGTACAACGGCCGAAATGT